GAACCAGATACCTGGGGGAAGAAAAAAAAAATCTTCATTTCAATCCTTCTCAAGAAATCTGATGTACTTCCTTCAATTACTTTCCTGTCTCAAGCCCTAGGAACAGTGATCGAGAAGATGGTAGAGAAAAAAGAAGTAGAGATACTCACCATATCCTTTGCTGAACTTTCTAAAAAAAAAAATATGGAATGTAAGACACTGAACTTGAATAACAGAGAAATAATGTTATTAGCCCAGCTAAGCTTTTAGAAAATGAGATAAATAGGTTTCGGATTTAGAGATTTATTGATTTTTTCATAGCAGCTGTCTTGAATTGCTTGCTTTAAACGTGCTCTGGATTTCCCAGATACTCTTGAAACAGAAGCCCCATTTTTGTCCTCATCCCCAACCATCTCTGAATTTATGGAGAAGTAGAAGCTTGCTTAGACAGTGAATCCCTCCCTTCCTTTCAGCATCCACCAAACAAAAAGATCCTCTCTAATTAATTGCCTACAATATACAAAACTGGATAAACATATCCAAAGGTAAACTAATCAAAGAATAGTATGATCCTGCTTTTTAAATGAAATATAAAAGTGTGGTTATCACTGTGGGCTGATGGAAATCAGACTCTGGACTTCACAGTTCACCTTTAGCTTCTTTCAGATCATGATTAAAATGTTCTTTCTCCTGTTCAGTTCCTCCATTTTGACAGCCATCTTTGGCATTTCCTCTAAACCATGGTTCCTCAGATTTCCCATCTGAAGATGGGGATCAGTGTTTTGTCTTGGTACTCATGTGAGTCTCGAGTCTCTCTGAGACAGTGAGACTCCCATTGCTGCAGAGAACCCAGAACTAGACCAGTATGAAAGCATGATTCTACCACCCAATCCCATGAGTTTGAAATTACTTATTAAATTTGCATAAAATGAAGAGCATGTGATGCATGTATGGAACTTGAACAACATCATATATGTTATGTTCAGTGAGGAAATAATTGGCAACTCTTATTCCAATCTTCCTGGTATACCTAACCAGATATAACACATAAAGTTAGTGTTTTTACATGGCATGTAAAATTATATGTCTCATACTTTGGTAAGTCAGTTGACTTCTTCTAGCTGAGGGTAGAACAGATTTAAGTTTCAAAGAGAAACATGCTTCTCACAGTTCTGTTAATTTGCTGCTTTTCAGTGCGGGTGCTGGACGCACCGGCTGTTACATTGTGATTGACATCATGCTGGACATGGCTGAAAGAGAGGGTGTTGTTGACATCTACAACTGTGTCAAAGCCTTACGATCTCGCCGCATCAATATGGTTCAGACAGAGGTAATATTGATTTGCCTTTAGTCAACTTCTTACCTCCTATATTTATCAAATAAAGCAGATTTTTTTTTTCTTGAGACATGGTCTTGCTATGCAGCCCTGGCTAATCTAGAACTTGTTATGTAGACCAGGCTAGCCTCAAAAGATCTACCTGCTTCTGCCTCTGCCACCAGAGTGCTAGGATTAAAGGCATGCACCACCACACCCAGCTTTGAAACATATTTTTAACATATAATCAGCACAGCTCATTAAATCACATAGAAAACTTTGGTATGATGTCTTAATAGTTCCATTTTAGTACATTTTCTGTATCCTCTACCTTTGACAGAAGTAAAATGAAATTTGCTAAAATAAAATTAAATTTTCTTTTTCTTTTCATAGGAACAGTACATTTTTATTCATGATGCCATTTTAGAAGCCTGCTTATGTGGAGAAACTGCCATCCCTGTGTGTGAATTTAAAGCTGCATATTTCGATATGATTAGAATAGACTCTCAGACTAACTCTTCACATCTCAAAGATGAATTTCAGGTATTGACTATTTCTAAGGTTCCTATTAAAACCTGTTACAATTTGTTCTGGGTACTAATAATTCTTTTAGAAAAGGTCTTTCAAGCCAAATGTATAACCTTTAACCCTTCCTCTAGTATAATATAACACCTGTCTCTTTCATTATGCACATTGTGGGTTCATTTTTTATTAAAGAGCTGGTATCTGCTATATCCTGAAGGGCAAATGAGTTCATACTCTGAGAAGAGTAAGAGGGAAAGCTATAACAGTCAAATTTGGTGATGATTTGTGTCTGTTTATAACTTCTTTTTTTCATGTAGTCTTACAATTTTGACCTTCTGTGTCTCACTCAATATGAAATCAGCCCATTAATAATAATGGCTGAAACTTGTACTAAAGATTGTCATAGCTCCAGTGTGTTCACTGCCTTTAAATATCCCTCCATATGGAAGAAAATAAAGTCATGGTTAGCTCTAGGAGACTGATACTTAGATGCTTGGTGTACTGCTCTTCCCCAATCTCCACATGTGTTTTCAAATGTAGCATGACAGAACGTGATTTCCAATTGTAATTTCCCACTTCGAAGGTCATCTTTATCATCATGGATTACCCCAATCTTATTTTCTTCTCTCACAGTGATTTTTTTTAGTAGCCTCTGTTGTTTAGCTTCCCCTTTCCTTTTAAGAAGAGGCACGTGAATAATGTGTATCTTGTGACTTTGTCACTTTGCAGGCTTCATTAGCTTTAACTAAAAAGTCTATCAGCTTGTCAACAGTGTTAACTGCTATTACCTTGTGCAAATTCTTCGCTTTCTACTTGGCTTCCTAAATACTTGATAGGCCTGTGTTGTACTATTAAATGTGTCACTGTCTTTTAACCTGGGTTTTCTCTTTTCTTTTTAGACTCTGAATTCAGTCACCCCTCGACTACAAGCCGAAGACTGCAGTATAGCATGCCTGCCAAGGAACCATGACAAGAACCGTTTCATGGACATGCTCCCACCTGACAGATGTCTGCCTTTTTTAATTACAATTGATGGGGAGAGCAGTAACTACATCAATGCTGCTCTTATGGATGTAAGAGACTGGACTCTTTGTTAGTGTAAAGTGCTGTGAAAATCCATATAACTCAACTGAACGCTGACTACTTTTCTAGGAATTATAAAATGGACTAGAATGGAAAATTAGAAATTGTCATTGAAATACAAATTTTTTTGGAAAGAGATTCTTAGCAACTATAATTTTTATAAGTTTATTTTAGATTTGGGGTTTGATTGTCAATTATTATATTTATATAGAAAATACTTCAGGTTATTTTTCATCTCAATTATTTTCAGAAAAGAAAATGATTATCTATTTTGAATATCATTAGGAATACATTTTAAAATTACAAACTGCCATATCCTACCAAAGTTGTGAGTTTTTTAAATTGGAAAATTTTAATCTATGATGTGATTTAAAGTTAACTTATTTCATTTGGGATTAGCGTACAGAAACTAATTAGGGAAGACAAGTGCAATATCATGTTAACATATTCATTATTATGAAAGCACTGTCTTGCCCTGTCCCGTTCTTCATCAGCTTCAGGTGCTCTAGCATGCACGGTGTGTATCAGTTGCTCATAAACGGAACAACAAGAAAGGGAGTTTGAAATTATATCACTGGACATTTTACTTTGGTTACCTGGGGAAGAAGCAAGAAATTTATCAAGAATCAGTACCCTTTAAAACAGTTTATTGTCATTATTCCTAACTCTTTCATTTTTACCTATGAAACTATATCAAGAACAAATAGAAGTCAAGGTTCATCCCTCCCTGACTTTTATGAAGTTTTCTAATTTGTTTCCCTTATTTTTTAAGACAGTGTCTTATGTAACCCAACCTGACCTGAAACTGTCTGTGTAACCAAGAATAACCTTGAACCCCGAATGTTCCTGCCTCCACCCTCTACTGCTAGGATACTAGACACGTGCCACCATACCCAATTACCTACAAAATTATTTTCAGTAAATTAGTAGGCTGATATGGAGTAGAGATGTAGAAAGTTCTACATTCTTCTGCAAAGACTGGTCTTACCCAGTTTCTTTGCTCTTTTTTTGCGGCGTGGGGGGTTGCTGTAGACCAGGTAATTTGAACACAAGCTTTCACTAAAACCTTCCCATCCTTGTTATGCCCAGATCTTGCCAGGATAGATTTAAACCAGTATGAAGAAAATTTTATTCTTAGTATAAATCATGAATCTGAAGAATGACAGATCAATCACCCAGGCCAGATGAACATTTGCTTTTACAACCACTAAAGTAGATTACTCAGTACAGAATGTGCTGGTGATAGCCATACAGCATAGCAATAGTAAGATTTTTGAGGTACTTGTGACTTTTTTATATCTGAAAGATATAGTTTTGCTAACACACATAGACATGATAGATAAATGGACAGACCAGGGATTTCTTGCTTACTTTGTTTTCAGGCTTTCAGAGACTCCTCACTTTTGGGAAGCTGAAACCACCCAACAGGGACCTTATGGAGGGTCTTAAACCTTAAGACAATCCTCCATCTCTTCCTTTGTGTTTGTCCCATATTAACTTCATTCAATGAAATGAAACTTCAGTCTTGAATGCTTTAGAGATCTCAAACTCTCCTGTGTCATTGGGTCATTACCATTTCCAGTACATTCCAGGGGTTCCCGTCACTCAGGTAGTGCTATCTTTATAGGAAGTTACTCCCTCCTACCTGGTCCTATACCGAAGTGTATTGATTCTGCTCATACAACTGATCGTGCATTTTATGTATGTTTTTAATTTGTTCTTTGAGAATTTCATAAATGTATACCACAAAATATAGTCATGTTAACTTTAAGTTCTTCTGTTTCTCCATCTACCCTGTCTCTTCACAGAGCTACAGGCAGCCAGCAGCCTTCATTGTCACACAATACCCACTACCAAACACTGTGAAGGACTTCTGGAGATTAGTGTATGACTATGGCTGTACCTCCATTGTGATGTTAAATGAAGTAGACTTGTCCCAGGTTGGTGGGCCTGAGTTGATTTTGCGTGTTTATATATGGCCTGACATTATGAGTATTATATATTTATCATTTATACCCTATTAGCAATAAAATGTCATTTTCTACTATATAAGACCCTAATTAGAAAAAAATTATCATTTCTTTCTCTTTCTAAACACATCTAGGGCTGCCCCCAGTACTGGCCAGAGGAAGGGATGCTGCGATATGGTCCTATCCAAGTGGAGTGTATGTCTTGTTCAATGGACTGTGATGTGATCAACCGAATTTTTAGGATATGCAACCTAACAAGAGTAAGTATGGGTTTCTTCTAATCGAGCTGATGTAGAACAGGTAGAACAAAATCGAGATGAAGCATAAATCTATGAAGACAGAGGAAGAGAAGAATTATTAAGAATCACACAATCTATTTCAGAGCTAGTGATCACCTTATGTCTTGGATCCAAGACAAAAATGCATTTGAAACACAAGAAATTAGAAATGCTGAAAGCTAGATATTTGTTCAGTGAGGAGCCTAGAAATCTAGATTCACAATGCAACAACCTCTCAATCAGGTTTGATACTCTGGGCCTGGTCCAGGAGCACATGTGGATTTATGTAAAGGATAACGGCATAACTTATTAGTTATGACATGTATCCCAGGAAAAAAAAAAAAAGCATGCCAGTGAAAAGTAAAAATAATCATGATGACAACAGACCATTACCTGAGGAGGAAGAGATATGCCAGGTCATCCATCACAAGAGACTTCCATGTCACTATTGCAGGACCTATGTGCAAGGGGAACTCTAGGCCTGAAGGGAAAGGTCAAGTCACAGCTATTGCTGATCTGTTTAGTCTAAATGTCACTGTTCTAAACATCCCAACAACTGGTTCTGCCTAGCTCTAAAGGAAGACCTGGTCCTGCTTCTGCTGTGCCTTTTACCAGCAGCCAGGTGGCCATTGCCCAAGAGTTTCTCTTTCCCTGCAAATTCACCTTCTTTGCACTAAGTAGCAACTCTGAAGGTCTTCTCTTGAGGACAAAAACTAATAACCTGGTTATGTTACCAGATAGCAAGCTGAATTTGAAAAGAAAACATTAGCAACCTCCATGATGTGGCACTTTTTTAAGAGGAAAGATAGCTCTTTTTTTTTTTAAAGCAGCAATTCTATCTATGTGTGTGATTAGGATTGTCATTTTTCAGTGTTTCTTATATCATGATGACTATATGTGTTAACTATACATATCATTAATTAACTGATATGTATATAACTAGGAAGAGGGGATAAACTCATAACCAATCTATCACTCATTTCAGTGAAGAAAAAGGGATAGCTTCAATCATGTCAGATATTCATGCATATCTTAAACTTTAATTTAAATGGAATCTCATTATGTATGAACATCTGTTACATTATAGTTCTAGTAATATTTTAGCTTAGCAACTGTAGCTGCTCAACTATAGAAGTAAAACTTATCTGTGAATGGGGCTGTTTATATGGAAAATATTCTAGGAACAAGGCCTGAAATCTGTTACATTTTCTTCAGTAAGTATATTTGTTTGTATATGATGTTCTGGTAATTATTTATGCATGATTATTTTATTCCTAGTCTCAGTATCATTCATTTCATCATGCACTTAATACACTTGAGCAACAAGTTGGATACAGAGTAGGTAAGGTGTGTATCTTACCAAGAAGTGCATAGCCCTTCCCATGTGGAACTTAAAATCTGATGCATTATGATATTGCTCACTCAGTGTATTGCATAGTCTTCAATGTATTGTCTACTCAAGGTTTAATATTTTTATTTCTTTCAGCAGTACTACTATGTGGAAAATATCATGCAAGGTTCTTGTGATGCACAGTTTAGAGAGAAAAGAGAGATTTCCTGATCTTTAGGAATTTATACTTTTTCATAGAAGGCAAGCAAATGTCAACTGATTGCATACATGATTATCCACTTACTGACATGCTATACATGTGTCAGAGAAGCACAGAATACAAATTGTTTAGCCGGGTGATCAAAAAGAGCTAGGTGACCAAAGAAGGCTTGCCTAAGATGGGAATACTTAAGCCAAAATTTGCAGAATCACTAAGTGGTAGGTATTATTTGGGGGTGAGGCAACTAGCTATCTTGCTTTGCCCAAGGCAGATTTTCCTAAGCACTGGAGGTTCAGTGCCATCACAGAAATGTTCCCAGGCAAACCTGGGGCAAGGTGGCTATTCTGCTTGACAGTGAGAAGCACAATCCAGAAAGAAGTTTACAAGGCAAAGGCACACAATGTTACAGGAAGAGTTTAAAGGCAAAAGTGAACCAAATCATGTAAGGATTTTGAAGACATGACAGAGATTGGGGCTTCATGCTAAGATCATTAGGAAGACATTAAATCAAGGAGTGACGAGACGATTTTTGCACTTCAGCATAATCATGGTGCTGTGGTAAGAATGGGAAGGGAGATCAGAGTTTATTAAGGGAAATAATAAGGCACTGATCATCATAACTTGTGATAGGCAGTGGCAATATAGAGAAGAAAATGAATTTGAAGTTGTTTAGGAAGTTGAATGGCAGGAATTGTGGGGATGAGGGAAACACAGTGTATTAGTTACTTTCCTTGGTCTTTGACAAAATACCTCACTAGAAGCAAATTAAGGGGGATAGGGTTTATTTCAACTTATCAATAGGGGACTACACTCTATCATGACAAGACGGTCATCGTGGCAATTGCATAAGGCAGCTAGTCACATCACAGCCACGCTCTAGAAGCAGAAAGAGAGTAATGCTTTTGCACATCTCACTGTCCCCTCTTTATACAAAACAAGAGCCCAGCCCATGAAATGGTGCTGCCCATATTTATGGTGGGTCTTCCCACCTCAATTAACCTAATCTAGATAATCCCTCACACACATGCCCAGAGATTTGTCTCCAAGGTGATTCTAGGTCATGTCAAGTTAAAAATCAATATTAGCCATCACAGGCAGGTGAAAAAGACAAGCCCCCTGGCTCCTGCTACTGTAACTTGGAATGCTTCTGTAAAAGCACCATAACATCATCAACTAGACTCGGTCCAATGCAAATTTCGTTTGTATTATGAAGTGTGTGCATCTTTTACTGTTTAGGCAAAGCTCTTGTCCTGACTTACATAAAATCACCTTTCCTCTACAGCCGCAGGAAGGTTATCTGATGGTTCAGCAGTTCCAGTACCTAGGGTGGGCTTCTCATAGAGAAGTTCCTGGCTCCAAGCGCTCATTTTTGAAACTGATACTGCAGGTGGAAAAGTGGCAGGAGGAATGTGAAGAAGGGGAAGGCCGGACGATCATCCATTGCTTGTGAGTAGGCAGCTCAGCCTGGCCATGCAAGGGACTGCAGAGATCATTCTCTTCTCAGCCTTTGCATTCGTTATGTGAAGGAACTCATGACTCAAATCCTGAATGATTTTAATACTAATTAATAATTTGAAATAATAGATACTATTTCAAAACAGAACTTCTGTCTCATGAGTGAATAATTTACTACAAATTTAGATTAGTATTTTTAAATATTAGATATTATGTAGTTGTTACATGATTTAATTCTTTTAGACACCCCTGGGAACAACCTCTTTGATTTATGGTTTCAGAATTAATGGTACTTCAAGGTATCTAGGTTGCAACAATGTATACTTGTCGCGTATTCCTACTTGTAAACTCCTGAGCTAACTTCAAGTTTCTTTCTCTCTGCCTTCTATACATACATGCAAAAATATAAAGCAGAATCAGAAGACATTTCCCCAGACTTATGTGATGGTTTGACTTGTGATTTCTCCAAAGATGCTAACATGTCCTTGATTTCTTTTCAGAAATGGTGGTGGACGCAGTGGTATGTTCTGTGCGATAGGCATTGTTGTGGAAATGGTAAAGCGGCAAAATGTTGTGGATGTTTTCCACGCAGTAAAGACTCTGAGGAATAGCAAGCCAAACATGGTGGAAGCCCCGGTGAGTCACGGCGTCAGGAAAATCACAGCAACTGCTCAGTCACAGACCTACTAACTGGTTTGGCTTCACACACACCTGGGGCAAATGAGCCTTGTGGTGATTTTCATGCCTAATTAATAAATGATGGAGTATCTGCCTCTACCCACATAAATGCATTGATTGCCACATGAATTATTTGATGAAGAAAATGTTTTGCATTTATTTCAAGAAATGTGTAGGGTTTGTTCCTGTTAGAGTCAGTAAGCACATCCTATATTGCACTTTGGTAAATTATTTAAGAATAAATCCTGCTGGGGCTGGCGAAATGGCTCAGCAGTTAAGAGCACTGGTTGTTCTTACAGAGGACCCAGATTCAGTTCCCAGCACCTACATGGCAGCTAACAACCACCTGTAACTCCTGTTCCAGGGGATCCAGTGCCCTCCTCTGGCCACTGTGGGCACAGCACTACACTTACATACATTCTGGAGAAACTCTCATAACTATAATTAAAATAAATAAATTTTAAAAATAAAATAAATAAATTTTAAAAATAAATCTTGCAGCCTAAGCTGTATCAGTTTTGTTTCTTAAGCATACTGAGTTCACTCACAGAACGTTTGTGCTCACAGGCTACCTCAGCACCTTAGATAACCAAGGTTTTTGTTTATTTGGTTCATTTTATTTTCCTTATTTTGATTTAGTGTATGTGGTGCTAGGGATGAAACCCAGGGCCTCAGGTACCATGTACCACTAGGGATGAAACCCAGGGCCTCGACTACCACTGATACCCAATATTTTTAAAGAGCAACTGAAATTTATTGCAGTTATTATCTTTAGTCCTTCACTATCTAATCAGATTTCAAATTGTTAACTAATCATTGCTAACAGTGTTCAGCTTTGCCAACTATAAAGTATAGTCCTATGATATGGCAAGGGTTTTCCTGGGCTTACAAAGCTTATAAAACAGGGGCCAATAGGTATATGTGAGCAAGGTTTTGTCCAGATGGCGCTGTGTGTCAAGTAAGATAGTCAGTTATTGCCTCTCTAACACATTTTGCTTGTGGGTTACATGTCGGTACACTGAGATCAGATGAGGGACAGCTGTGGTGCTCACAGAAGAGTAAACCAGAAAACCCAAGGCATCATGGTTACTTGCCTACACTTATCAAGATGATCAGATAACGGAAATGAGCAATTCACAAAGCTCTAAGTTTTCACCACTTCCTGCTCTTCAGTTGTTCACACAGGAGGTGCATTACTTCCTGAGACAAAATTTGAAGATTTAGGTTTATGCTGTTTCACTTTGACAAGTGGTAGCCGACTTCTCTTTCTCAAGTCCCCTTGCACCCTCCGTACTGAACTGGTAACTGAGATGATGTTGCTTGCTCTAGGGTGCTGGCAAGTGAGATGGACAAGGAGTGTTAATTTAAGAGAGTTTTAAGTAGAAATTTCAAAATTTCATACAAAATGAATAGGTGGGAGTTATGCCTCTAGTTTTAAGATATGTAACCTGTGAAACGCATTCTGTCTGAACCACTTAAAATCATACAGGGATTACTCCTACCTTCAGAATTAACTTTTTCCTCCAAATTAAACTTTGATATATACTTTTTCTTTAATATAAAATTCTGTGGTTAAGCAGCCATTCTAGAACCTTCTAATGAGTTACTGTTTTCCTTTGTAATCATGTCCCACAGATCTTGACAAAACACCCTGCTTTATCAACATTAATGATTAGTTCAGTCTGCTATAGGGTTGGACTGAACAAGGAAATTTAGAGTTAAACAAGACTGATAGAGACTGGTCCCAAGCACTTTTTTTTAGGTGACTTTCCCACAGTAGGAAGCAATTTAAAGCACTTCTACATTGTTAGTTAGGGTCAAAGTGATCAATACATCTTGCAAACTTGGATTGCCAAAGTTTATTGCTAGAGACCCCTTTAAGATCTCTTTACAAACAGTACTTATTTTAAGTTGTTCCACTTTTCCCTGAACTTCACTCAGTTGGATTGAATTGGGAACTTTTCAATAAGTTACGTATCGTAAGTCACCATTTACAATATAGTCTCTGGGTTTTCAAAATTCTTCATAATGGAACAAATACATGGATAGTTTTAAAGGGAATACAGTTTTAACTCAATGCATTGCCAAGCAAGTTGTCTTATTTAGAGAGGCGACAGAAATCATTTTTTAGGCAGACATAGGTATGAAACTCTTAAACATTCTTGTAAAATGTGTTTAAATAGTACTCTAATAGACTATGAACTGTGAAAAAAATACTAAAACTTAAAAGGTAGTTGACAATAGTTGGTTTTCTTTTTTCCCTTTTCTTTTGTATTTATCTAAAGAAATAATCTAGACTGTGGATAAAAGCATTTGCACACCTTTACAACACTATAAAACAGAAAAACATAAAATAATCTAACAACTCATATGGTAGATTTTTGTGTATTATTAAAAGACTCATAACAATACATAACAATATAAAACATAAAATCATATTGTGAAATACGTATTTTCTTTATTCTGAAATGATTATTTCAACCATGTGCTAAAAAAAGACTGAAGTAAACAAGGGTATTTTTTTAACAGTTCTTATGATGATAGAATTATAGCTCTTTTCTTGAGTCTTTTTTATTTTTCTACACTGGGAAATATTCTGTAATGATGGGGTATAACTCTTATAATCACATAAGAATTCTGGAATTTTTTTTAGATGATAGACAATATGGGATAAAGATAAAATTTCTTTTTATCATTGTTTCTTTTCCTTAAACAGGGATCATTATACTCAAATATAAAATATGTGTGCCCAGATGTTCATGTTACATACAGAAAAAGTCATTTGTGATTCTTGAATAATCCAAGTTGGGTGTCAAGTATCCACATGGACCCTATTATTCATCATTGGCCTTTGCTAACTCTTTTTAACACTTCTGTTCTAACATTTTGCAGGAGCAGTATCGTTTCTGCTATGATGTGGCTTTGGAGTACCTGGAGTCATCCTAGTTAGGCGGGGCATCCAAGCAGAAACCATTCATCTGTTGAGCCAGCAGCTGTTGAACCTGTTATACCTGTGCAGAGAGATTTTAATGTGGGGGGTGGGAGGCTTTTACATTTGAGAGGTAAAAGTATTTTTCTTATGAAGTTGTGTATCTTAATAAAAAGGACTTGATGAGTTTCTATTACTGTATGAAAGCATCAACTTTCGTGCCACACAAATTATATTTAATAAGAACCAGATTCCAATGAGAAATGACCAGTGTTTGTACAGTGAAGATACAGCCTTTTCTCTCCTGGCTTCAGTAGAGCAGCCACCACATGTTGCATGAACTTTTTATGTGGCATTTTTTCCCTTTTAAAATGAAAGCTGTTGAACCTTTAAAATGGAAAAGAAAAAAAGCTGTGCAAATACATAGTCAATTTCATTTTTATATGTTCCAAGTGTAGCAGATAAATATATAAATATATGTAACTGGCTTATTTTCCTTTAATGTGCAATGATGGCTGGATCATTTAAAGTTCTTTTTAGAAAATAACATAAGCCAAAGACTCAAGTGTAAATATGTCTATATGGAGAAAGTACATTATATTTATTGGTTACTTACATTCCTTTTTTTGATGGTTAAAATACTATCACCACAGTCTTTTTTTTTTTTTTCAGAAGAAAGCTTTTTCTTTAGCTAAAATCAGTTGTAAACGATTTTTGTAGATTATTTTTTGTATGTTTTAGTGTAAGTAGAGGATAAACCTTTTTATTCATAAACCAGGAAGCAATGTTATTTGTAGTGATTCCCTTGTGTACATGCTTGTGAATTCAATTTATGTAAAAGCCTTGGCAATTGTCTTTCAATAGAGGACCACATTAAAACATTTTGCTTAAGTGTAGTTTTTCACGGTATCATTAGGTCAAAAATGTCTTAGGAATCCCATAAGACAAAGTCACACGTTAGAAGACAATGCTGGTGGCCTGCACGATGTGGAACATCATCTCCTTTAAACACTGTTTAAATTTTAAAGGGATTGATCTCAGCCTGTGACCTAGCACTGGTCCAGACACAGGATGGCAACATTTATGCTTTCAGGGTCAGGTTTTAGCAAGCTGCAAACTGCCACAGTGATACATTGTTTCTTTGGATGTTTCTACACACAGGCTTTGGATTCAGACCATAGGAAAATGTAAGCAATCAATGCCAAATTCCTGTTTCTTGTGTTACCCTGGGATTCCCCAGTGAACTTTCCTAAATGTGGTCTTGTTCACAGGCTCCCTGTAGCTTAACTTCACACCATTGGCTTGCAGTTTGTTATTGACTAAAGCATTCCAGTGTCCTCTTTCGAGATTGCCAGTTCATGACATGGTGCTTTTAAAGATTTAATTAAAATAAGAGTGGAATAAAGTTTTTATAATTACAGCATTTATTGTTTGTGTGTCAATTTGCCCTCTAAATTTTCATGCCTTTGTTCCAAAATAAAGAACCCATTTTATACTCTATCCAAGTATGCCACAAAAATTCTACTAAAAGCATTAAGTCACATCCAAGCTGTAGTTTGTATATTTTTTGTTCCCTAAATTGCATGTCAGATAGTCTAGGTCAGTGAATGGGAAAAAACCCCAGGGTTTAATAGCTTTTGTTTTGCTTTGTTTTATTTTGTACATTTATATTGTCATAATTTGTATTAGGTGCTTTTTGCCATTGTGACAAACTAAGGAAATCAGCTTAATAGGAGGATTTATTTTTGCTCTTTGTTTAAGCCATTTCAGTTCATATTTCTTTGGCTTTGCTGCTTTGGGCTTGTGGCAGGGAACACTGCAAAAGCAGCTGGTAGAGTAAGTGGCTCCCCTCTTGATGGCTGGGAAGCAGAGGTAGCTCTCTCTTGTAACACAACTATTTCCATGCATGGTAGAAAGTGGAAAAGCAAGTGGGATCATGTGGAAGGGAGAGCAAATCCTAACTCAGGATAACTAACAAGAAACACATTGGCCTGTCCCTGAAAGTTCCACTTAGTGATCCTAGAATATCAGCTAGGCCGTACCTCCCAGCACAAGTTTTGTTTGGTTGTGTGCAAACCATCTTTAAATTGTAGCAGATACATCTAACAAAATAATTAACAAGCTCAAAGAAGATTTCTTTTTTCTTTTGTTTTTCTTTTTGGTTTTTTGTTGATTGATTGGTTTTTTTTTTTTTTTTTTTTTTTTTTTTTTTAAAAAAAAAAAAAAAAAAAAAAAGAGGACGATAAATCTTTCACTGTGTGGAAGTCATGATGTGAACCAGGGTGACCTTGATCTCACAGAGATCCACCTGCCTCTGCCTCTAAGGGCTGGGGTTAAAGGTGCACGCCACCACACCCAGCATTCAAGCAAGATTTCTTTACCTGGTAATCTTATGTCACTACTACAAAAGATTCTGATTTGCTACACAAGGAGTCATTTCTGCTTATATGGCTGCACCAAACTCACTATGCATACAAGCATCCGCAAAGCTCAGTTGTCTATATGACCTCTTAAATTCAAGCAAAGAACAAATGGAGTCTACTTTCTCTATAGCAAGGAATAAAGATACCATGCTTATTTTGGGTACCAATGTTGACCAGTTTATTAGAAGATAGTATGAGAAACCTAATTGTGTTTTTCTGACAATTTATGTTCAAAGACTCAATTTATACCCTTAAAAGCTCCATAAGTAGACTTGTGCATGGTCATGTCCTGTCCAGCCACATCCTTCTCAGAAGATGTCTTGGCAGAACTCTGAAATAAAAATGTATTCTGCTCTGGACCTGAAGTGTCTTCAGAGTACTCATGTGTTAAAAGCCCAGCTGTCTGTGGATGGGCTTTTGGCAAATGAGTGTACCATGAAGACGAACCTCATTAGTCCCTTTCCTCTGGCAGATTCACAATGTGATGGCATTTCTGAGAAGTAATACTGAAGCTGACAGTTGGAGGCCAGGTTCAAGTGCCTGCTTGCACAAGCATGAGGACCCATGTTTGGATCACTAAAGCTCATTTCTTAGCCAGGCTAGCTGACCTGTGATCCTAAGGTTGAGAAAAAATCTATCTCAAAAAAAATATGATGGAGAATAAGCAACTTAGGCACATGTGCACACACCCACATGTATGTGTATATACATGACACATACAATCAAGCACACAAATGGAAAAAAAGAACTAAGAGTTAGTTCCTAGTTGGAGGAAGAGTGCCTGAGAACATGCCCTTGAAAGGTGTGTCTTGTCCCTGGTCTATTGTTCGTCTCTGCTGTGTTTCTGCTTCCTGGCTCCCACCAGGTGAGCAACTCTACAGCATGCTCCCTGCCATGATCTAACTTGCCAAGGCCCAGAAACAAAGGAGCCCAGTAACCCATGGAATGAAACCTCTTTATGGACCAAAATAAATCCTTCCTGCTTTGTTTTGTTTTGTTTTTCAGCAATTTTGTCGATGACAGTAAAACACAATACTTTTTATGGGTAATCTTTTTCTATCCCTATTGCAGTTATTTCTTAAATATCTGTCATGATGTTGAACTTACAGCTCTTCCTAAATATCATCACTAGGAAGATGCTGGAAATGTGTGGTCCAGAGACACATAAGCATTTGGGAAGATGTGAGTTTGATTGATTGATTGATTGATTGATTTTGGTCTTTTTGAGACAGGATCTCCCTGTAGCCCCACCTGGCCTGGAACTCACTGTGTGAACCAGGCTGTCCTCAAACTAACAGAAATCTGCCTGACTCTGCCTCCTGAGTGCTGGGATTAAAGGCATATGCCACAAGATAGGAGTTTTAACTAAGTACTTTGAAAATGTGTTAACACTGAATCTGAGTTACCTATGAAATCTTTTTATGGTACTTAGGCTTTGGAGAAAGGAAAGAATTTGAAATGAAAGCACTGCTGCATTGCAGCCAAAGGATATCTGATGTTGAGAGGTAAACAAAGGTGCTATCTGGCCTGGTCATGAAGAGGTCAAGTTGTCTGCCCACTGGTGTGCTGCTATGCTCTTGCTGAAAACCTGTCAGGTTCCAGAAACACATGTAACAAACTTGGAGTTTGGGCACCGAGAACTGTTCCTTCTCAAATCTACTCTTGTTTCCAGGTAGTGGTGTTAATGTTCACAGCATCCAAAAAAACTAACTAGGTGCCAGTAAATACTAAAATGTGGAAGAGTATAGACTGGAAATAAGAACCACTCTGATAACTTAGGAAATCTACCTTTGAGTTTGGAGTAACCTTCGTAGGACTTGAAAACTACACATTTATATTTAGTTCTTATGAGCTTTGGCTGGCATTCTTAACAAAATAGTCAGAAATCAATATTCTGTCATGTACCCAAGTGTACTAAGTAGTATTTATCCATAAAATATTACTAGAGGCGATCGGTTTAGCAGCTCTGATCTCAGCAGACCACCAGAGAGTACCGAGTTCTGGCCTCCCTCTGGTATAGGGGCTGAGAATGCAGTGGACTGCCTGAGAGCCCCCAAATCCTGCCTCCACATGGTGGTGAGCTTTCCCTAATTGCACCATACCAATCCTCTTACCTGTGAGGCCCCTCTCAAGGCCCTTGGGCAGATCTGGCTTTAGTAGGCTAAGGAGGAGATCCTAGCAGACACCTGAGAGGGTGGGTTCTGACCTCTATTGGTGTAGCAGCTCTGATCTCAGCAGACTGCTAGAGAGTGTTGAGGGGCTGAGAATGCAGCTGACTGCCTGAGAGCCCCCAGATCCTGCCTCCACATGATGAAGGAAGCCTGAGTGTACCTGACTGGAACCTGAATTGTGCTTCTGTAGGTACTCCTGAGTAGCTGATCTGAAGCCATCAGTTCCCTCCAAATTAAACCTGAGAGACCCTGAACCCTGTACCAACCAGCTTTACATAGCCAATAAAGAAAGGATCTAGGCACCATGATAATACAAACAGAAGCATACCTCAACTTAATTCTCATATTAGAATCATAAACAACAAAGAAATTCACATGCCACAATCACAACAAAAGAATAATAAAATGGAAAGCCATCCCCACCAAACCACCAATCCTGTAGAAGAGTTCTACAAGGAGAACCCCCTAGAGATATCCCGGGACACTAAATTTAATCATAAATATGATAAAGGAATTCAATGAGTTTAAAGAACACACAAAGAAATGAAAGAACTAAAAGAATATAGGGATAAACTTCTGTATGAATTCACAAAAGATAGAAACATTGAAGAAAACTCATGTAGAAATGAAGAAGAAAGTGCAAAGCTCAAATAAGCCAACTTGAAACAAAGAGGAAAGCCTCACACTAAAATGAATGAAAGGGAAAACAGAATATCAGCACTGGAGAATAAAGTTGAAGAATTGGACCCACTCAAGCAAAGATTATGGAAAATTTTTAAAAACACAGGAATGGAATATGCAAGAGATATGGGACACCATGAAAAGACCAAGTCTATGGATCATAGGAATAGAGGAAGGAGAAGAATTTAATGTTAATGGTATTGATCAGATCTTTAACAGGATTGTAGAAGAGAATTTCCTGAAATTAAGGAACAACATCCCTGTACAAATACAGAAAGCACATAGAACACCAAATAGACAGGATCAGAAAAGAAACTCCCCATGACATATCATAGTAAAAACAGTAAATGTATAGAACAAAGAGAATATGGAAATCAGCAAAAGAAAAACAAGTCACATACAAAGGAAAGCCCATCAGAATTACAGCTGACTTATCAATACAAACTATGAAAGCCTGAAGAGCCTGGACCAAGGTATTTCCAGTTCTACATGACAACAGATGCCAGCCCAGAATACTTTACCCAGCAAATATCTATTATAGTTGAGGGAGAAAGAAAAATCTTCCATGACACAAATAGCCTGAAAGAATACATGTCCAAAAAATCAGTCCTTCAAAGAATACTTGAAGAAATACAGAGAGTGGAGAGAGAAAAAACTACCCCAGGAGCAATGAAAGAAAATAAATAAAGGTATAATTGAGGAAACACACAATTAGAAAAAGAACACAAACAGCAATCAAAATGATGGCAACCAATACACATCTTTCAATAATAACCTTAAATATCAGTGGACTAAACTCCCCAGTCAAAAGACACAGGCTAAGTGCATGGATTAAGAAACAAAGTCTCTTTGCTGTCTGCAAGAAACCCATCTCACCTTCAAGGACAGGTACTACATTAAGGTAAAAGGATGGAAAAGAATATTCCAAGCAAATGGCATTTAGCAGTTGTGCTCATTCATTAAAGAGTGCCAAGCAGGGTCACTGGACCCTCACCTGAGTATCCAGCCACTCTTCCCAGACAACTAGTCCAACCTTGGAAGACAAAAGAAAAATGAGAAAGAACCCAATAGAGGGATGCTTTTGGAAGTCCTTGTCAAGAAACTCTAAGGGACTCTCATATGAACATTTGAAAATTGCCTTGTTCTGA